GGATGGGGCCAGGCTCTTCTCAGTGGTGTCCAGTGACAGGACGAGGGGCAGTGGCCATGAACAGGAAAACAGAAGGTTCAGCCTGACCGTGAGGAAACCCTTCTTCACTGTGAGGGTGACAGAGCCCTGAACAGGCTGCCCAGAGAGGTGGTGGAGTCTCCTTCCCTGCAGACTTTCCAAAGCTGCCTGGAACTGTTCCTGTGTGATCTACTCTAGGGGATGCTGCTCTGGCAGGGGGTTGGACTAGATGATCTCTGGAGGTCCCTTCCAACCCCGTCCACTCTGTGAATCTGTGTGAATAAACCCATATTGTGATTTCAGTTAGGTGTAAATCTTCTGGAATTTTAGGGATATTCTCTTGAAATAATCTACATAGAATCACAGAATCATAGAATAGACCTTAACCCAAACCATTCTGTGATTGTATCTACATCTTACAGTGTGTGCTCAGCAAAGAGTTGTGACTGTAGTGGAGACAGTACATTTACACTGCTCATTTATACCGCTGTTTATTCCCCTGATAAGTCACAGCATCAACACCTTCATCAGCCACATGAATTGTAACAATTAAATAGATTCAGATGATAGTTTAATGACAATGAATGAACCTAAGCTTCCATTCAAAATCCTTGTCTCTGCATACTCTGGGTTGGCTCAGTTGACACGACTCTACACTGGTGTTCAGAATGAGGATAGAAAAGGCTGTATTTGGACTTCTCTCAGTGAAGGGTTAAGCAGTGGGTATAATCATGGTCAGGGTTTTTTTAGCGTCTTGATTCCATCCCCCTTTTCCTAGGCTAGAGGAGTTTTGTTTTGTGTCTTCCTGGCAGCAGTAAATTTGCAAAGCTCCCACTGACAGGCAGAACAATGGCATTTTACATGTCACTTCCCACATGAGGCATTCCCAGGAAATAATTACATGGGAATAGATACCTTTGTGGACTGGAGCCATGAAGGGTAGTGAGAAATGGGGCCAGCCAGTACCTGTCATGCTGACTTGCTCTTCTCATTCTTTCCTTGTACTTTCTCATCCGCTGGTATTTTTTTTCACTCTTACAAGTATGTTCTTGGGGAGGAGCTGTCACTCTGTTCTGCACAGGACTGGCTGTAACTTATTGTTAAGGTAGACAAGAATATTTCTTTGCCATTGTCTCTTAGGGCTTAGAGAGTTTAGGATGAGTTGGAGAGCTCAGAAAATGAGATTTCATTGGTTTTGCCCAATTTAATAGGAAATAATATACCTGCATTTTGCAAATTTCCTTTTTTGCCACCATTAACTTCTGGCTGGAATAGGTTGTTCCTCACACCCTCTGTCCTCAGAGCAGCTCTGGGCTGTGCTTGTGTAGACTGCAAGTACAGTGTGGCTCTTGCCCACAGCTTGGTCTCTGGTACTTGTAGCACAAAGGACGGAAGGCTCCACTAGCGTAAAGCCAGAGGACTCACAAGGAGCCAAAGCAACGGGCGGCCTGTGAGGGGGAAAATAATTTCATTTCCCTTCTATTTGTGAGGCACCTGTGAAACAGAAGTGTCCCTCATCCTTGAGAGACTGAAGAGAGAGCTGTAGATACTTTCTTTTAATAAAGCTGGGGTTCTGTCCATCGTGGCCGAGTTGAAGCCCACCACTAACACAGCCGGGGAGAGTCGGCGTGCTGCTGATGTCGAAAAGCTGACAGTGTGAAGCTGCACGGTGAGGACACCCAAAGCGTCGTATGCTTGCTGCCACAGTGCTACCCCGAAGGGAGAGTTTTCAGTCAGTCCAGAGATGAGAACGGGAGGAACCCAACACTGGAATGTTTCTCCGAGTTGTGTAATGGCGCTCCAAACTTTGCATTTCACATCGCACCCTCTCCAAAGGAAGGGGGGAAAAACCTGCCATCGAGGCTCCTGGCCACTCTGCAGTTTGCGAAAAGGAAAAAGAAGGAGTGGTGGCACTTCTGCTCTCTCTTTGCCACCGTCCGTTTAGAAACAACACTTCTCCGTAAGGACACCGTGAAACTGGAACGCTTCTCCAAGGACAACAGGCAGAGCAGGGACGGGAGAGGAAGGAGTGCAGCTGCATGCTTGCTCTGTATTCCCACTTGCATTTGGAATCTCTGGAGGCACCGTGACTGCTTGGTTCTCCTGGACTTCCTTGGTTTCTGCCGACCCTTACACAAGGCACTGCCTTGAGTCGCCATGGAGCATGCATAAACCTCAAACCACCAGAGAACCCTGCCACAGGTTAACAAAACCTGCTCTAATTTCTCCTCATGTCAAAAGAATCTTTGTACCACAGCTCACTCCTTGAAAAGCGTTACTTTTATTGATGACTCCGTGACTGAAACGTAATAAATACTAGACCAATCCTATCCCATGAAATGTATCAATTGGTTTTTTGGCCTCGGGAAGTGCATGAGCAAGTGACCAAACCAGCTTCATTCACAGTTGTGAACACAAGTCACCTGGAGTACTGTCCACAGCTTAAACGATGTGATTACACACCACAGCTGGAATGAGGGGTTACGAAACTTCATCGTGGGATTTCAGGTAGATTGGCTTAGAAATCTTCCTTAACTTTTCCTGGTGTCGCAACGTACGGCCTTGTTTATGGGCAAGACCCATAGGAGGCAGATGGATCTGGAAAAGAAAATCCCACCAGTTACGTGCAAAGCGAGAAGCTACAAGAAAAAGGCGGCATATATACAGACTAGCTTTCACTGGGTTTTAAATAATTTCTTCACACTTTGGGGAGGGGAACTGTACCGTCTCAAACCAGGTTATTAGATCTCTAGGAGTGCTCTCTGAGGAGTGGTTAGTGGTGTAACTTTCAGGCCCTAAATGTTGTGTTTATTAAAATCCTATACATTTTAGCCTTTAGTAACCTTGTTTTGTCGCTTGGTATCACCCTGTAACGATAAGATACTTGTTCAAGTAAGACTGCTGACAATGTTCCAGAAGAGTAAGACCTAGAAAACCCTAAAAATTCCTGAGTAGATGTCTTAAAGCACTGTGTGCTTTAGTCATACCTACCTACAAGTCACAAAATAACCCGAAACTGTAGGTACTGAAAGACTGCCGCCTCACTGTCACGATTACATAGACCATATTAAAATGTACAATCACTGCCATTGACTCCACAACCAGAAGGAGCAATAGGTGACAGGCTCTTCCTTTGGCTGACAAAGTCTTTGTATTTCGTAAGACTGTTGGTGGGAGTCAGGCAGCTATATCCCCCTTAAATGACTGAGAAACGGGGGCATTCGCAGTCAGAAGTTACCGTTGCTGAGGCTGTCATCCTGTAAGGCGCCTGTTTAGGTGCAAATAGTAGTAAAAGCACTGACTACAGCAGCAATAGAGATTTCTAGAATCTGAAAAACAACGATCATCCAGTTTGTCTGAGGACTGATCCTTTGGGATTTTGAAGCCACTGCAGAGCATGCAGCCTAAGCCCATTTCTGGAAGCACTGTTTGCCAGATGTGCATTGTTAATTTGGAGAAAAAGCTGGGTGTGAAACAGGTGCTAACAGTGTCCATATTCTAGGCAAGCATCTGATGAAGACACAGTTTGATTTTGACCATGACCACCTTGATGAGGGAACTACAGTTGTGAAAATGTAAACTAATCAACAGGAGTAGCGAGGAAGTCTCTGTGGGGGGCAGCATGAAGCACGACAGACAGAAGAGACTGGGCAGTGAGGACGCTATATGGAATGGTGCAGTAGGAGACATGGCTGCAACTTCCAGCATTTCAGTCATCTCGGACATGTTTTTCTCTAGGAACAGAGGAAAAGACACAGCAACACAGGCAGGTGTTTTAGAAGATCTGATTTATGAGAGCAGAACAGTTACCAGTAATGTAGGCTGTGAGAGTTCCTGTATCTGTGGCAGATGTAATGGAGTATTTTTATTCTCTCACTCTCTTTTCCTGTGTGGAGAGACTCACAGATTTGACTCCATTACTGTCTTCTGCTACACAGCATGATTCACTGGTCAGTCAAGACTGCCTAAATATTCCCAGGCCTTGGCAGTGAGCCCATGCAACTCCTTGTAGCCTTTGACTCCTTATTTTGAGGAGAAATCAGCCGATTTACAGTGAAATAAGGTAGATGGGGAACCTTTCAATACACATCTGGCTTACTGGGCTCGGCTTTAGCACAGCGTTAAAGACCAGCTTATCTAAAAATGACAGTGATGTGAACAGCTTTACTGCCCAGTGGGACGAAAGTGGGTACAGCTGAAGGCTTTTCAGCTGGAGTTATACTCACGGGTCTCGGGTAGGGGATGTTATAGTGAAGTCCCATTTCTACTCTTGCCTCACATTCTTCTACGCACTGCTTAATCAACTTTGGATCCGTTACCTAAGACCATGCAAACAAATGTTGTGTACAAGTACAGCAGTCAGCAACTGGAAGCTCAAACATAAATGATGCACAGCCACATGAGTTTCTTTAGCCTTTTTTTGGATACAATGATCGGATTTTTCACATCCATAAAAGGTAACATTGGTGTTTGCCTTGACTCAGCACTTCTGGGCTTGATGGCACTGGATATTAAGGCCCAGAAGCTGTCATGACTGAGGCTACAGAAGGAGGTTTTTACCCAAACATTTATTTTCTCTGTAAAATTCCTCCAGAAAATACACGTACATCCATGAGAAAACCATACTCACCCACTCACCACTCTGTAAGCTAGCTAGGGGAGAAAGGGAAGAGACTCCATGGTCTACATTCTGTTACCATCCTATCCAGAAGTCAGAAATGTGGTGTAAATTGTGACTTAAATTCATTTTTTGATTCTGCATTACCTCAAGACCAAAATGGGGTATAAGTAAGTATTGTGATCTTGAATTAACAGAAGGACCTTTAATTACCATGGAGTCTGTTTGAGAAAAAAATTAAAAGTGCTTCTTTTTAAAGAAGTGCCAATAATCGTTGCTTTGAAAAGAAAAAAAAAAAGACGTATAAGAAGCTACTGAGCTCTGTTTGCCATTGCATGGGTAATGATACACCCAGCCAGCTTTCTAAAAGATCAAAAGCTGCTTCAGTTACACAGGCAGTATCTGTGGAATTTAAATTTTTCTTGACTTTTTTTAGTGAAAACTCTTTTAGACTTTACAGTAGTTAATGAAGAGCTGAAATGTTTTGCTTTTTCTTATTATCTGGGGTGAAATTTAAACTATAACCTGAATATACCCTCATTTGAGGTGAATGAAGTTTTGGGAAATCAACGCTTATATTCGTACCTTAGCCTCCAGTCACTGAGAGAGTGCAAAGGGCAAGAGGAGAATCATGCAGAAATTCAGAGCTTTAAGGACACTCACGTTTTTGTTTTTTCTGAATAACGTTTTGGCTTCATTTCTAATGTACTCTTTCTCTTTAATAGTTTCTTCTATCTGTCCTGATGACGACTGCCATTTTTTGGCTATTCGGAGTATCTTGCGATAAAGGCCAAGAACTTCTTGCCGGGTAACTGGTGTCATCTAAAAAAAACCAACACAAAACCCCAGACATACGCATGAACATGTGAGCTGCTAAAAGGCCCGCGAGCAGTACACTTTTTCCCACAACTGAATTGGTTTAAAAATATTTCCACCATCTAAAGATATGCCGAGCTCTCTGAAACACCTGAAATAGCGGTAACCAATAGCTGTTGAAAGCTGAAGACCCAGTCCAGCAAAGTATTTCAACGGATACTTCAGTCCGTCTCCATGCAAACAGCTTGAGCTCTTGCCTGAAGTCAAGCACCTGCTTTCGTGTGCTGCAGAACCACAAGCCTGGTACCAGAGTGCCCAGGTTGTGTTTCACTGCTATTTGGCAACAGACACTGGGCCAGCCACCACAACGGAGCGTCCCACTTCCTGCGAAACTGTCGTAGCAATGCCGACCCCATCTTTGCAAAGCATCTTGAAATCTGTGAAGAAAAGACGTGACAAAGGCTCCGCCATGCTGCTGGAAAGCTGCGTAGGCTGCAGAGGCCGAGCAGCTTACTTGTGATACCGTGACAGCATGCAAGAGCAGCTCAGCTGGAGTTTGATGTGACGAAAGCTTTGTTATCCAAGGACTGTGGGAGAGGCAGACTAACTGCGGATTTGGGAAAATCCTGAATGTCTTGATTTGCAGAGCGCTGGGTGCCTGCTGATCCCACGGAATCAGCCCCCGGGTGCAATACGGATCTTTCTCAGAAAACAAGAATGAAATCCTGTTCTTATTCTATATAAATGAGTATATTTATCATGGAAGTGGTGCCACTGTTTCATGCCAGATCACAGTATCCCCGAGACAAACCCACTGCTGGAACGACACCACTTCTGACGTGGGTTAGATTCGCAGAGCCTGTGACTTCTGCTGCGGGGTCACCGCAGCTGCCGAGGGCTCCTCGCTGTCCAAAAGGGAGACGCAGCAGCACCGCAACGTAAGGATGCGGATGCGGTGAGGAGCGAGCGTCGGCGGGAGGACATCCGACTGCCTCAGGATCCATCTGCCAGGCTGGAGCTGAAGTTACTGTGGCTGAGTGCCCTGAAAGCCCAGCCGTGCGCTGGGAGCCGCTCCTGTGGA